ACGGTCATAAGATTTAAAGAGACATTCAACTTGCGTAATCCTTACAAAACACTTGAGGTCTGTTATCTAATGTACGGCCAATGATTGGTATAACTAAGTGTGGAAACAGAAACAGCATCTTGGCTTCTTATTTGTTTTTCGCAGTGAAGTGCCCTAAAGTGCAAACTGCGCATATTTGAGGGTGGCAAACAGTGCAGAAGTTGGTTGATACTATATAAACAACCTATATTCATTTCTCATACCCTTATCGTTGATTCAGACAAAGAGGAGAAACTGGAAGACTGCTATGGTTTTAGATTTACCCTCAGCGTTCATCAGATGTGGCCTCGCCTACATATGATTTAGTCAGCACACGATCGTTAATCTCAGCAAATGAGTCAAACTCAACTGCCGCAGGACCGAAGTCAACCTTATTGAATCTGTTTCCACAGTAGTGTGGAGAAAACTTCAATAGCGCTACATTGATGATACAGGGAAATTAGCGCAATTAGCTAATTCATTGTTTGCTGATATAGAAAAAGAGTAAAGGAATATATGACATTCAACAGAATTAAGATTATAGCCATCACCGCAAAAAACGGATATGTAATTCGTGATCAGCATGTCAAATAATTTCTGTAGACCACCTTTCAGATGGATTTATGACTTTGACCTTCCTATATACAAGTCCTACAATGGGGTTCTACCCAACTTGACAAATTAGGGCGGAGACTTTGAAATCCTAGCGGCATCGAATATTGTCGATGGATGACGTCGCACATTTATGCTCACTGCAGCAGTATGCAAGCATCTTAGCCTAATGTCAAAATTTCAGATCTCACTGATTCACCAATTGGGGTTACTTATCATGCTGATTACGAATATCGTATCAGCTTTACTCGGTAGGGCTTTACTGTAGGGTTACGGATGTGCACGGTCGGAGGTTAAGATTACGGATTTGCCTAGAAAAAGTCTACTGTGATTATTTGATGTGCTAAAAACAAATGATATCTATGCTGTACGGTAGCCCCTTGTCGTGGGGATATAGGTATAAGGTATGAAGTCAGCATGGATTAGTATAGATGTGCCTAGAAAAGAAGCTTAATACGCTAAGATTTTGGTCAGCACTTTAAGCCCAAACGTTCATAAAAGAACTCCCATGGTTTGCTTTAGCTAAAAATACACAAAAAATGCCTCTAATTGCCAAAGAGAATGGCGTGGCTATAGATCAAAGATAGAAGTAAAGGTTTTCAAGGTACTCCAAGTCTTGGTACGAGGTCTCCGGTTCCTTACGACAACGAATACCCACCTGGATCTAGGAAATTACAAAGCCCCCTTTGTATCCTGCACAGACGCGTGTAAGCGAGCACTGCAGTGCTGTTTGTTTGGACCACGTTTTCTTCATCAAGTAAACGATCCCTAGTAAGGAAGAGACAAAGTCCTTTGATCCGGTTATTGTTCTATAAGTTGCATCAAGGGGAGCACAAAAAGTGTTTGCTCTAAGGAGCGCAAGATTATGAGAAACAAGAAAGTGTTTGATAATCGGAGAGCTGAGGTCTCCCGTAGGTCTCCGCCGGAGACCTAAATCACAAAAAGGTACAGCAATTTTTATTGCCATAATTTTTCAAAGATTTTTCAAACACTTCTACTACTCCTTGTTTCGCATCTTTAAGAAATTTTCGGTGGACGTTCACCTAAGAAAAATCGGTTTACATGGATATTGTAGATTTTTTGAAGTTCCCGCGCAAACGCCCGCATTAAAGCAAACATCGAATCCGTACTGGAGCATGTATCTGAACGGTCACAAAATGCGTATAGATTTGAATAATAAGAGATATAGTGGGGAGCTTTAACATTCTTCTTGTTAAGCAATCAGAATTATAATAAACTCTAGATTCCAACCCGGACCCTGTACGATTTCCTCTTTGCTTTTTTTTTTCAGAAACGAATTCCATGCCCCCCTGAGACCTGCCGCCAAGGTATGATGTAGTCTACAATACGTTTGCGTTGCGAGAGGGTGGTTTTACAAGCCGTACTCCTACAGTAAAGCATCGCCGTGATGACTATTTTTCATGGCTAGCGTATGTAATAAAACAAGTAGGCGGAGGTCTTGAGGAAGCAGCGGTATTAATCTCTGATCGTATAGTTCCGTATCTTACGATAAGTCATGACTGTGACAAATGGATAGCTTATTCATGATCACCATGTGAAATGATATCTCTAAGCAAAGTTTCAGACGTTGTCGCGATGGTGACATCTGAACGTACGCCCATCGCATACCTTAGATATCACTGTAGTGTGAGATACTAGAAGACCTCTCGACGAGCTGAGCCTTATGCAGCTTTTCCTTTAAAAAGCCAATTTAAAAGAAGTTATGACAATGCGACGCTTTGCAACGGATCATCCCATCTTCGCGGATTTTCATGTGTAATCACGTTGTTTCTGCAGAAGTTATGCTGTATCGTGGTTTTAATTGCTCAAGCTCATCTACCTAAAGTACACAGGTATCGTTGTGCTACATTCTAACTGGTCGCTGGATGTTGTAGGAAGACCGGTTTTCCACTTAAATCATTGGTTCATGGCGCATTAGTTCTCAGAAGTTTGACGCATCAGGGAAACGTGTTTAGCTGATTGTGTTATGCTGAAAAAGCTGTTAAAACTCTAATGCTGTCGGTAATCAAAGAGGAGCCATGCAATTGTCATAAGTGAATCTATAGAAAAAATCAAAATTTGGGAAAAAACCTGAAAATCTGGAAATCTAGAAACAAATAGAAGTGATAAGCATTTGCATTTAGGGCTCAGTATATCTGCTGATTATCATAAACATTGAAATTTCAACACTCTAGCGTTCTAA